AATGCCGCCGGATGATCGGCCGCGCAGGGTCCCATGGCCCTGTCACCACATTCTTATACTTCTGTAAGCTGATGAGCCACCAGCTACATCCCCCCATGGCCAGCGCCGTCAGGATGCTCCCCAGGATCGAGCCAACCACCGCCGCCATCCATCCTCCACGCAGGGTGATCCCTACCGCGCCGCCAGCAACCCCAACTAGAGCCAAGGTCAGCAGTACATGCCCAGTCCATGACACATGACGCAGCTGCCGGCGAAAAATGGGGAAGAGCCCAAACACCTCAATTGAGAACAGCATCAGGCTGAACACATGTGTGGTAGAAGGTAGGCGCGACGCCAACACAGTCGAGGCCATCACCGCTGCATTAGTGGACAGAGAAGCCGGGAACTTAGTGGCGCCTGCGCCCTCCCCACTTCCATAGTCAAAGGAGAAGATGTTCATGATCAATAGCCAGCAACTCATGGCCCAGATCGAGTCACTCGCCGTAGATTTGGTAAGGGACTTGAGGATCGGGCTAAGCCCGAGCAGCGCGAAGTAGATCAGAAACGCCGATTTCACAGTGGACAGCCGCTGCCGATTCCGCGAAGAAAACATCGACAAGTAGTCTGGCTCCTGAGAAGCAGAACCGCCACCCAGGGCCCCGTTCGCAGGCCCAGGCGTAGGCGATGCGGGCTCCTGTGCCCCGTAGGCATCACTCACATACCCCGCGCTGTGTCGCCGGAGCAGTATACTTGACTCGCCCTGCGACATGTTCAACCCCAGCCCATGCACTTGGTTCTCCTTCTGGCCATTGGCTCGCGAGCTAGTGCCAGACGGATTGACAGAGCTGGTCATGGAGCTAGAACTGGAGCCATCGTCACCCTCCAGTGATCGCTCCGCCACATGCGCATTTTCCACATGCTCTCTCAATATCCACGAATCCCAGAATATCCAACCCAACGCTGTCCCGACACTTCCCCAGCAGACCACCGAGACTGGGCTCACGCGGCCCTGAACAATGCCGACAAAGCAACACACAAATATAGCCACAGAGCTAACATGTTGTACAATGACCGTGGAGTCGGCCACTAGCGGCCAGAAATCGTAGGGCCGCACTCGGGGATTTCGCTGGAGGTGGTCAAGGAACGTCTCGGTGTCGGTGTAGTTGTCCGGGTCTGAGATTGTCAGTATTTCCTGTCATGTGTGTTTCGGGGTGGGTATGAAGCGCACATGATTGTTTCACCCACAGCAGCTTCTTCCATGCACCCTTTCGTCGTCTCCGTCTGCTGGTACCGCGCACCTTGCGACTCCCTACACCTGGGACCGCGGGCGGCGGTCGCAGGGCTGCCACGGAGGCAGCAGTGCCCGAATTGCCATTCAGCACTCGGAGAGAGTCATCGTAACCCGTCTGGGTCGGCCGAGCCCGAGGCAGGGACGAGGTGTAATATGCATCTTCAGGGGCCAGCCGGTTGGGATCCGGGAGAGCTCGTTGCGCGGCGGTAGGCTTCACGCCAACCGTGCGGTTCGGATGGGTCTCGACGGGAACGGGGGGAGGAACCGGAGGAGGCGAGTCGGGCAGGGAAGGCATGGAGGAGCAGCGGGATTCATGCTTGTAGCATGATGTGATGGTTCTATAGTTGGCGCTGAAGACACAATTGCGCTGGTCGGTGACGCGAATCACACCCCAATTCAGGCCTGCAACCACGTGGAGATTAGTCAGCTATACTATGGACGAATGCGTGTCTCGGAGATGGTACTGCACACTGGAAAAGAAATGGCCAAGTAAATAATGTATCTTGATAGAAATATTTCACAATTTGTTTGAATGATAGCATACGACACAGCATTCTCGACAACACTCTCACTCATGCTTGTAACACGTGCAGAACGTCAATCACAATCCGGTCCAAGCTGTCCACCAAGCCCAGTGCCTGCTCAACTAGGAGGCGAAACTCTCCATCACTGTCTTCGAACAGGTAGTGTTGTTCACGCTGTGTCGAGATCTGACATGCCAGTATCTTTACCTGAGCATCTCTATCGCAAGCTTGATAAAACGCCGTGGCTTTATCAAATAGCTCCTTCCTCGACCTACATTCGTCTAGTGGAATATAGCGTATCGCACCGATGACTCTCTGGGACCCGAGGCGAAATACAACCTTGCTAGGCTTCATAGGCTCAGTGGTGTTGCTTGTATTGCTGGTGTCGGTAGTTTTGTGCCGCTTGTGTGGTGGCGAGGGCACGTACTTCTCTTCTTCAGATGATGAGCCTGCTTCCGATGAAGATGACGAGTCCGCTTCCGTATGCTCATCGCTCTGATGAGCGCGACCTCTCATAGAGTATCTTTTGGAGCAACCTGCTTTCACCGATTTCCTTGTGACTGACTTATCTTTTGGGGATTTGCGACGGGTGACCGAAGGAGATCTACTAACTTCCTCGCCTGAGGAATCCTGGAGCTCCTTTAAATGTTCCCAGGCTTCCGAAGAGTATTCGATTTCCTCCAGGTCGCTGCTAAACACTCGGACTGCACAGTGCTCTAGCTCCTCTTTCTCGTCGACGCCAGACCATGGCCTAAGGTATGTGCCATGGACAGTGCGATGAGGCGGATCACAATAGACGAATCTCGCTATGCCATTCGCCTCATGTAGCACGAGCACGCAGTACTTGCGCGGTTTAGTAACGAGGTACCATGTCAGCTCGACCTCATTTCCTTCCCGGTCAAACACTTTCCAGACCATCGATCCCAGACGTCCACTGGCTTTGCATCTCGGATATTCGTTCCCCTTCTCTTCGTGCCAATGTTCCAAAATTGTCTTCAGGTAATCAGGAAACGGGATGTCAGGCCCCAGCTCTGGTTTCGGGTTAACTTGCACCGCCTGGTCTTCGTTATCGCCTGCTTGAGAACCATCGACAGAGACTGTTGGCTTCTGTTCTTCGTCGTCAGACTCAGTGTGAACGATGTGACGAGAGGCGCGCCTCACCCTAGCAATGACGCATGAGAGTTGTCAGCCAGCATGTATCCGAAAGCAGCAATTGAGCTTACCTTTCCTTCCAGAAGATGACGGCACCGTCTGCAGGGTTCATTTTTAGTCTGGACGTGAGGGTTAGTACGGGTCAGTGCAAGGCGGGAGTGCCTGCCCCAAGGTGTTTCGTTTAGTTAACTTACTCCTGGAGGAATTGGCGCGTTTGCTAAACAAAGACACGTCTGCTGATGATACCTAGCTCAAAACGTTCTAAAGACGTCTGACAATTGGCCTTAGTCTCGTTAGGTTATTTTGCATACCAGAGAAGATGCTTAAACATAGTGTGGCTTGTCTGTCAAAACTTTCTGGTAGGTGCCTTGTCACCCGCGCAAATCACCGTTATTGGAATCTCACAATTCAATAATATGAAGTCTGAGTATGACTAGTGAAGCATCTCTCAATTAGCATTTCTAATATTGAGTAGATAAGCTCGGAATGTTCCATACAAGTGTAGATCTCAATTCAATTGAGACCTGCAACTCAGTGCACAAAAGTGAGGCAGCTTGCACTCAATGTCTCAGTTTCCGGACGGCGTGGATGCAACAGAGCAGAGTCAAGACGTTAGAAATCAATGCACATGCACAGCTTCGACGTGAAATCGAAGACCCGTGAAATGCAATAGACTGGATCACCGAGAAGAATTTGACAGCTCAGTGCATTAGGAGTGAAGGAAATCCACTGCTCTACACCACGCTCCATCGTACTTTACCCCTCAGGGTATGAAACGGTTATTTCTGACGCGTTCTGGAAACCACCAACAATTTGCCTCACCTCAACTGATAAGCAGCTAGTAGTGAATGCTCCTATCACATTGCGGAACTTCTTCTTCAGCCCATAATAACCCGGGATGGATAGTCCGGGGAAAGTATGCATGCTTCCTCATCAAACTTTAACATACTCATATTCGCCTACGCTCACAAAGTCCAAATGCAGATACAACATCCGAGCATGAATTCTCCATTTTCTGTGCAATTGAAGACAAATTCGTGCCAAGACACTCTAGACTACTCTGTTTAGCCTTCCAAACGCAGATCTAGCGGCCGGCTGCATCTGGCCACTGCAAAATACGAACGGATGTTTGTTTGCTCTTCTCCTTGACCATGACGTTGGATGGACAAGCCCACCGACTGATGGCCAAACCTGTTTCCTTCCGGGCTAATATTGGCTATCTCCGTTTGGCTTGAACTTTACTACTTGCAGTTTTTCTGCCCGATGAATCGGCAGGCTGAAATGATACTATGTCATTCTTCAACCGGAACGCATTTACTATTAGATATATATCATCATAGCAAGGCTGAGTAGTATTACTAAAGGATTCAATTTAGAAGGGGCGTGACCGATCCATATATGATCATAATGACCTAGTCATTGATCAAGGACCATTTGAGCTGCCACACCCAACATACACAGCAACAGAACGACATAGCTAGCAACACCCCCGAGGACAGCGCAATCAGACACAGCTTTTGCGCCACAAGAAGCAGCCAACAACCTATCGGTGAGTAATCACAACTGAAGCGATGGACAGATCAGGCAGCTACCTCAAGCCGAGAAAAGAATTGAAAGTACGAGGCGGCCTGGTTTCACCTGGATATATAGTCTGGTGTCATGTTTCGGGGATTCTGAAACATAGCCAAAGAGCGTCCTTGCTGGGGGCGTGTTGGGCGTGTTACGCGTACGAAAAAGGCTGGCATCCAATGCATCAGAGGTTGAGTTCTGACTACCATTACGTTCTGCTTAGTACGACCTACTATCTGATTATGGCTGGCTTGGTGGTTAAAGATGTGAGGTAGCTCCCGATTGGAGAAATGGGTATGCGCTAAGACGCATATTGAAGTTTAGGATGGAGGAGAGATAAGCTGGCTGGCAAAGGGTTTCGGATTAGGTAGTAAGGTTACGCCGGGCATGGACGATGGGATGGTTGTTGGTTCGCCGGTTGGACTAATGGATGATGACTGCAACAATATAATGAAATCATCGGAATTCCTGGTCTCCTTATTATTGGCTTTCTGTCTAAATGCTATTATGATGGTTTGTTCTTCTATACCAAACGGGATAACAAAGCCTTCCAACTTAGGCACCGAACAAGGACATCCAAGCGCGATTGCCTTGCCCTTTGTGGGCAGCAGATGGATGGTCGGATTCAAAACAAAAGCCCGAAAGAGAAGATGGATTTAATGCAACACAAGGAAACTGAACAATTATACAATTGGGCAACATGCTCTTATCGTTATTCATCTGAATGATTGCACCGGTATATGGGTAAAGATGTCTTCAAACGGAGCAGCCTCAAGAATTAGAGGGGCATGATTATGTTGGGTCTAAGCAGCACAAGAATAACACAGTAACGGGTATCAAACGCTCAAAATGATGGAACTGGACGCGACTCGCCCAGTATGATGCTGACGGAAGCATGCAGTCGTGGCTCTTCATCATGATTGGTTCTGAGAATCAGAATTCTGCTGCGCTTCGGCTACCAGTTTGGCCACCTGCGGCATGGTTTTCTCATCGATGCTGTTCCTCCGGCCCCAATTAGCTGGCTGCCTACGGAGGAACACGCCAACTGCACCAATATAGCCTTCGTGACGCAGGAAGTAGGCTTGCTTCTCGCCCTTTGACCAGAATTTGATGGCGTAGGACAAGGTGTTCATGGTCTGCCGATGACCGCGAATAAACGAACCGCCGAAGTAGATGTGCTTCACTTGATGCTTTTCGGACTGCAGATAGGCAATTTGCCCAATGTTGTTACTGTGAAACGTCAGTCCCAGCCGCACATCATGTAATTGAACACGCGAAAAACATACCTTATGGCATAAAGTAGGCTCCTACTCATGTCTTCGTGCTGGAACTTCGGCTCGCCATTAGTTCGGCCGGCTTCGCCATTGGAAGAACTTTCCCCATCCAAGTCATTCGGCTCCGTCTGGTTCTTCATACGGAAGACCTTGCCAAACGTGCTAGCAATTGCAGTGTTTTTGAGGCCGATTTTGCTGTAATCCATACCGTAAATGTCACCAACCAACATGTCTACCCCGCTATTGTCCCCTCGGTCCGCCATTGCCAGCATGTCGTCGAAGGTGCGGGCACCGGTCAGTAAGGACATTATGCCCCAGAACGTACCACCACCGAGGTGTGTGCCGCCCACACGTTGGAACTGCTTGGGCCCTGATACTTTAATCATTGATACACCGGAGCCAATGTTGACTAATAGGTACGGGTAAACATCCGGTCGGGCCTCGGCAAACTGCATCGGCTCGGTTTCACTGTAGGTAAAGACCTCGTTCGGAATCTCAGTGATAAAGAAGTCAAGGCCTATGTAGAATGGTCAAAACCTGGACTTTGCTTGTTTCCGTTGCAAGTGAGCTCATGGTTGCAGCATACCCGTAATAAGGCACTCCATCTCGTCCTCCCGAATGATGTCCACATTGAGTGCTTCCTTGAGCTTATCGTAGTATTTGAAGGCGCCTCCACCCGTAGCCATTACACATAAAGCATCTCCGGATGGCCCGCCGAGCTTCTCGTGTTCCTCTTTCAGTTGTTTGATGAAGTCAATGCACAGATCAATGCGAGATGTTTCGAAATTAATGAAGTTTAGTCGGCCGCCATTGTCGACAGAGTCCAGCTCCCGTGTGAAGTAAACCAATTTCGCTAGCGATCCGCCAATCTAATATCGAAGCAGCAAGAGTTAGTCAATCAAGTTGTGGTGGTGGTATTGCGCCGAGGGGTGCGATTGCGGGGAGCTTCAAAATTGTGCGGGGAACCGCGGGAGCAGCGAAGAAGAAAAAAAAAAAAAAAGTCACTCACGTCTACAGCCACATGGCTCACCAGACCAGTGTGATGTGGAAGACGAATATCATGGCCCTCGTAATGAACTCCATCCGTTCTTACGGGACTCTTAGATCGCGGGTCATCATCAACGATAAAGGCGCCCTTGACGTTGATCTTGACGGATCCTGGATTGGTGATGGCCTGCTCCAGGCGACCACCCCGGGCGGCGGAATTGGATGTGGACGAGGACATGTCGTGTCAATGGCATAAAAATACAGAGAGGAATGGAGCGATGGGACCAGGGGAATTAGATGGACAGCAAGGAGCAGGTGGCCGTACCGGCGGACGAGGTAGTTACCATCTCGGAGTAATGGGATCCCGTGATGGTCCCTACGGCGTATATCTCCTTCTGCCCGCTTTTGTTGAGGTCGGGTGGAACCGAAATATTGTTCTGACGGGCTGGGCATTCTTAGTCAACACCTGCTCCTGAACAAGTTCGGTCAGACAACGGGCGGAAGGGATCCAAACAAAAGGAATCATTATGATTCCCGGTGAGTTGGTACTTGCAGAATGGCCGGGTCTTGTTGTTCATTGCAGGGATAAACTTGCATCCAGCCAATTCGGAGGATGGAAGGGGGTGGCCAATGACGTTGCCCAGCCGAGTTGATACCTCAGGCACTGACATGGAGTTCTCAGGCATGAAACCCCACATATTGAGGGTCTACTAGTGTACTGGTACTAAGAAATTCTAAACGGCCACTCGGTTGTTATCAGATGATCGTTTGAACATAAGATCTCGATGTACTTTGTCAATGTGATTTATGCCTGCGGTCTTCAAGTTTCTGGTGACCTCTGTCGACAATCTCAAAGTATCAGTGACTACTACTAGTATAGAAGTTATACTAATAGTTACTGCTGTGTGCGAGTGACGTTCAATTAGCAGTGACTAATCAGTCTGCACATTCCCGGATATGTCTCCCGTCACTGCGCAGTACTTTTCATACTCCAGTCCGCGCTACTGCTTCACTCAAAGTACTAACACCCAACCAAGAACCAGTGGTCTAGAACCAAGAAATCACCAACTCTCACCAAGCTACTACTAAAATTGCGGTATAAAAATCATTTGAAAGATAAAAGGCTAGACCAGAAGCTGCTTCGGTCTTGAAAGTCTGCTTTTGTAGAAACTTGCGTATCTGTGAATACTTCTAGATTTCTGCGGCCTTATACTACTAGTACTGGGGTATAATATTATATAATGGAAGGAGAGTACGGTCTAGCTGAGCGAGCCACAGCCCAAAGTCACTTGCTATATCTATATTTAGGTACATAACACGTTCAGATAAGCATACAAACACCTTTAAACTTACGAATTATTGTATGCAGAGAATTGAGTTAATTTATAGCTGTTCGCCGGTATGTTCCGCGAGTTCTGCCGACAATAAGCAGGAAATAAGGGGTATTAAAGCTGACAGGCTTCTGTATGCCAGCTCTGCATCTAATGAATTGACTTGACTACTACTTGGCTACTACCTGCTCACCTGAAGGGTGCTTTACTGCCAGGTAGAACTGGCTTACTGTTCTGCTAGTCCATTTATTCCCCGCAACTCTTCTTCTCTCCCCTGGCAACCTGGAGTTCTGCAGACCAGCAACATTCACTGCCCAATTTCCATTTTCAGCACCGTGTTCCATAAAATTTCCTTCCGTTATCTGTCATTGTTTTGCTCTTGCCATCTCTCCTACGCGTCTCGCGTCTCGTTCGTCTGAGAAAGCTTTCTATCTCCCAAAGCTTTACTTCCCCTCACATCCTCCCTCTCACTCCTCTTTCCAAGACCAATTCCTATCTCAGGCGCACTCGGTACACTTCAAGGAGTAGAGACGATACTCGTTCTCTGTAAGTATAACACCACTTCTTACTAAGAATATCCCTCACTAACCAACCGTCTCTATCTAGATAAATCCAGATTCATTCGGATTACGCTGAACCTGCCAGTGTCCCTACCGCACAACAATGGACAGCTTCAACGTCTCGGATATGAGCACCGCGCTCAAAGAAAGCACGGGCAATCAATCCAGTAATCCTACCGAAGCTTCCAACGCTGCCCGCGAGAAGGGTTGGACGACTCCCAAGGGCTACGATTACGGAAAGTATACTTCTACTCTTCCGCCACTCAATCAGCCCCAGGGTGACAACCAGGAGGAGCTCCCTGAGTGGGCCGCTCAAGCTGCAAAATATGAATGGAAGGATGAATTTGGGGACGTTGGCCCACGGAACCCAGAGCTTGAGGAGATGCTGTTCCGCAGCGAATATACTAACCGAACCGGCTTGAAGATCGGAAAGTAAGTTGGCAATACCCTACTTGCTATAAGTTCATGTCTGAATCATGTTAGTATCCAGAACATCGAGGTCATCGCGGAAAGTCGTGAGAGACCAAGTCCCATCAAGAATGTAAGTCGTGTCATAGTACTCACACGATTGAATTGGCTGACAATGTCTAGTTTGATGATGCCGGTCTTCATCCTATCATGCGCGAGAATATTCGCTTGTGTAGATACGAGTTCCCGACCCCAATTCAAGCATATTCAATCCCCGCGGTACTTACTGGCCATGATCTAATCTCCATTGCTCAGACCGGTAGGTGATGACCCTCACATAGCAGAGTCATGCTAACAGAAAAAGGGTCTGGGAAAACTGCCGCATTTTTGATCCCGGTTCTGTCCCAGCTGATGGGAAAAGCTAAAAAGCTGGCAGCTCCGCGTCCCAATGTCGCAGCTGGCTACAATCCAAGCGCCGATTCTGTTCGGGCTGAACCACTGGTGCTCATTGTTGCCCCTACCCGTGAATTGTCAACCCAGATTTTTGATGAAGCGCGACGCCTATGCTACCGATCCATGCTCCGTCCTTGCGTTGTGTACGGTGGTGCGCCGGTTCGTGACCAGAGAGAGGAGTTGCAGCGTGGCTGCGATATCCTTATTGCGACTCCTGGCAGGTTGCTAGATTTCATGGACAAGCCACACATTCTCTCTCTTCGACGTGTCAAGTAGGTTCCTCACATTTAGTGCGAATGTCACTAACATAACCGCAGGTACACTATCATCGATGAAGCAGACGAGCTTCTGCAGTCTGACTGGGAGTCTGATTTTGCTAAAATCATGTCTGGAGGAGGCAAGTGGTTTGCGAAATTTTAAGCATTCCGATATACTGACGTTTTCAAGACATCAATGAGGACGCTGACCACCGCTACATGATGTTTTCAGCCACTTTCAACAAGGACTGCCGTAAGCTGGCGCGCAATTACCTTGCAGAAGACCATGTCCGTGTGCGCATCGGAAGGCCTGGCAGCACTCACGCCAACGTTGACCAGAATGTAAGCATGCATGGCGCTTGTCTTAAGAAATCTACTAACAGTGCATTTCCCCAAGATCATCTACGCTGAACCTTCTCTTAAGAAGCAATGCCTCTATGACCTGCTTCTGGCTATGCCGCCTTCGCGTACACTGATTTTCGTGAATTCCAAGACCCAGGCAGACTTCTTGGATGATTATCTTTACAACATGGGTCTCCCGAGTACCTCTATTCACTCTGATCGCACCCAGCGTGAGCGGGAAGATGCCTTGTAAGTTATTACCCTTCATACCTCGTTCCCCAATGTTAATGCAGTCAAGGCGTGCATTCCGCACTGCAAAGTGCCCCATCCTTGTGGCTACCGGGGTTTCTGCTCGCGGTCTGGATATTAAGAATGTCATGCATGTCATCAACTTTGACCTTCCACGGGTTCAGCATGGTGGTATCACAGAATACGTTCATAGAATCGGTGCGTCACCGTCCCACAATGAAAAGGCATATTTATGGAATTAGCTAAGACCTTACAGGACGCACCGCACGCATTGGCAATGAGGGCCTCGCCACCTCGTTCTACAACCATGACAATGATGCGGACCTCGCCCCAGATCTGGTGAAACTGCTCATCGAGAACAAACAAACTGTCCCTGACTTCCTCGAATCTTATCGTCCTTCGGATGATGTTGTCAAGTTTGACGACGATACTGATGACGAAAAGAGTGGTGGAGAAGACAACAGTGGTAATACCGATGCCTGGGGAGGAGGAGGAATTCCGATGGAGTCTGATGACGCCGAAGAGGCTGAAGATAATTCGAAGTGGGAGTTTTAATCCGCATCCCGACTTTGCCACGCCTTTAATTACCAGCTGCATGTCGCCTGGAATTCCATTCCTTCAATCGAAGTTATGGGAAGAAAAATGGAGAAAATGAGAAAAAAAAAGTTGAAAAATAAAAATAAGGGAGGAAAACGTCAGATGTCTATGAGTGAAAGGTCATGCTCGTGGGGGATTCGGTGATTGCCTCTATTTCCACGTCTTTCTTTCTTTTTAGAGATCATATCATGATTCACTGGACAGGATCTGGTGTACAATTGTTTGACTCCATGGCACAGAGACTGTTTGCAGCCTATCTCTCGCCTTGGGATTTCACAGAAGCTCGGAAACGATTGTCCCTGTGAAAGGATACAATGGATCTGGGCTACCTGATGAATCCAAAACCAACTGCGGGCCATGTTGGGAGGCAGGGTGGGAGCGTGGCAAGCAATGTCGTTTCCCAGCTGTACGGAGACTTAACATAATGGTAATCGATCTACTAAAAGCCTTTCTTTTCTTCAGCGAGCTAGAGTCCCTAGATATGCGCTTTCCTTCGGGTGCACCAACTTGCTCTTTCCTCGGGTACCATGTAGCCAACCGGTAAATAACTTCGCTCTCTCACGTAGACCTAGGTGACACATGTCCTGGAGATTCAGCAACGCTGAACCTACACTGGAGATACTGGTAGCTGTGGACCATATTCAAGATTGTGCGCAATCATGGTGACCTGCAAGCAGTCTGTCATCCTCCTTATACTTATAACCTTCGTCACCTCAGCTGCTACTCGTGTCTTCTTTCCGAGCAACACAACTAGCAGCAACACCACCGGCATCCCCTACAAGCTCACCGCTCCTATAATCATTGATACCTTCAATAACTCGCATCACAACACCCTAGGCTTCTGGCACGGTGGCTTAGAAGGACTCAAGATCGACTACGGCCACAACTATGTCCGCTTCTACCCAACAGATCCCGACCATAACTACAATACGCAGCTCTCGCCAGCAACATGCTTCAACCTGCTACCCTACCGGACAACTCACTACTTACACGTTCAATTTACCGGTCATACCAACTTCAGCGTTTCTCTCACCCAAAATAACATCCACTGCGACTCCACCCACAGCCCGTTCCCAGAAACCTGGGACTCTGTCGAGGCTGCCAGATATGCACGCGGCAACGACATATACATTCCTCTCTGGCATTTCTACATTGATCACCCCCGAGCCGTATCGGTATCCTTCAACGGCTTTTATTCTCCTGGAGCGGTTACTCTCTACAAGGTTGAAATTGTCAATGCTGGTAGTGTACCCGCTGGGTTCCCGATCCCACGTCGCGAGGACAACGGTCGTGTGCTACTGAGATGCTCCCGACCCGGATCGTTTGCGTTTGGAATAGATGATGGGCAACCGAGGTTTGCTCAAGAAGTGATGAAGATACTCGAGGAGGAGAACATCCTGGTCACATTCTTCGTGGTAGGACTGGGATTGAGAGATTTGGACACCAACTTCTCGAGTGTTTACGGAGAGATGTTGAAGCGAGGACATCAGGTGGCTCTACATTCGGATACGCATCGGAAGTGAGTGGCCCTCTATCATATGGCTTCAGTTGGATCCTAACAATGAGAAAATACAGATTGGAAGGGTTGGATTCTGTTGAAGCCATTGACCGGGAAATTGTGGACAATATCAAGTCATTTCGACAGATCCTTGGGATTGAGAGTGCGTAAATCATGGCTACCATCATTGTAGAGCTTCGCTAATTGTTGACAGGTCGCTATTTCCGTCCTCCCTTCGGCACACTCGGTGCGAGAACTCGTCAACGGCTCGCAAAATATATTAAGGATCCTCAGATCATCAATTGGAGTGTGGATATTGAAGATTGGCTGTGGGCGGATACTAAAACCCCCGAAAAGCAGCGCGAGGCCTTCATTCGAGACGTGAGACGCGGGGGCAATCTGGCTGTCATGCATTTCCTCAGTCCGACGACGGTGCAATACTTCCGTGAGGTCATTCGATTTGTGAAGAGCATGAACGCGACGATTATGCGCATTGACCAATGCCTTGAAGACCCACAAGCTCCCCCTCTAAACATTACGGCCTCTTGACTCAAGTGTCTGTGCCTTTCTCTTCCTAGTTTCTGTCCTCTATTGGCTCCCCTGCTTTGTATCGAATCCATTTTCTTAGGCATCGCTATGAGAGGTTATTATTGCTGTTATTCCAACCGTTGTAGGTACGGTTATTCAAAAGTAGCCAGCTCGATTCCACAAGAGTGCCTTCAAGATAATTCTAAATCCAGTAAATCTCCAAGGCGCGTAGCTACTCTGCCAAACCCATACTTGAACATACGAGCCACAACTAGCTTTGATCTCATAATCTTTCCGATTCAGTCTAGCTAAACACCTGTGACAACCTAGCATATATACGCTAGCTTCCATGCGGGCTTTGAACGCAGACACACAAGTCAAGTCAAGTGAAGTACAGAAAATTAGAAACGAAAGTACCGACAGTCCCAGACGCCGTGGTATTGATGCAGGGAAGAAAAGCAGATGCTCAAGATAAGATAAAGTGGAATAGAAAAGGTCACCGACTCCTCTCCTAAACGCCATTTCAGCATCGCGTATACATTTACATATACGTATGCCGATGCGATGCAATCAACGCTGCATGCTACTGGGCTAGTAGCATACTTAATCAGTCAATCAATCAAATCAAGCAAGCCCATGGTTATACAACACACATGAATCAGAATTCTGATTGTTGTGTGTTTTTTGGTTCTTTGAGGAAGAAGGAAAAATGATGGTAAAGGGAATATTCGTCCCGCGAATTTCAAGAAGGGGGAAACACGCTCAGAGTCCAAAGTCAGGATGAGGACAGCGCGGTGCGTTGTCCATCATGTGGTCGACCGTGCTGAGGATCCAGCCAGATCGGGCTGTCGGGTTCCTGACGCCCAGTCGGGGCGTTTCGCCCGTGAAGCAGATGCCGTCGCGCATGACGAATTGCGCGCAGCTTCGAGAGCTGGAGCAGAGGGTTTTGCATTCGTGGAAGTCGGTGATTTTGGGGTGTTCCTCGTCGGAAAGGTTGTCCCAGCTGTCGCGGACGTTGGAGAGTTCAGGGTAGATGAGTTCTTTGAAGACATCGCGGTGGAGGAGGATGTTGCTGGTGGCCTGGATGTGGAGGGGTTGTATGTTAGCAGGGGTATGCTGGTTACGGGAGTATGGGGGTTGGGCTTACCTGTCGACGTCGGCGTTTCTCGAACTCGTAGAGATCCTGGATCTCGTGGGATGTCAGGTGGTGGAATGCTACTGCGGGGTAGCACCATGGCTTGCGGTAGAATCCCTTGGCGAACTCATCCAGCTCGCCGACGTTGGAGTTCTGGAGGATCGGCCATGAGTAGCGTAAGGGGACACCGGCGTCAGCGAGAACCTTGCCCAAGACACAGTCGCCAGCCCAGTGCCAGTCGGTGTACTCGTTCAGTTCTACGGTGCGGGTCGCGTACTCGTTCGAGGCGAGTTGCATAGCGGGGTTGGAGACAACGAAGCCGGAGCCGCCATGCGCAAAGATGACGTCTGCGATCTGGGTCTCTGTGCCGATGTAGTGGGGTTCTTTAGGATCGAAATGCGAGAGCCATTCGAGGAGCGTCGGCCACGAGAAATAGGTATCTGCCTCCATGAAGACATACCATTTGGCGTTATTCTTGTAGGTGAGGGCTTGTTGCACCATGGGAAGGAATTTCCATTTGTCGAGCTTCCAGCCCGGGTTGTTGGGCTTGCCGATATTCGAGTTAGCCTCATCAGCGAAGTCGGCCGATTCGAGACCGGCGCGACCTTGTTCGCGGAGACGGTTGTAGAGGTCGAAGTCGGCAACGGTGTCTCGGACAGTGCTGTCCATAGTGCGGAGAGCGTCATGGATTTTGACGCCTTCGATTTCTTCTTCGAAATCCGAGAAGATGATATAGTTCGGGACGCAGCGCAGGGTTGTCTGGAAGTGAACCGGGACTTTGTCGAGGGCTTCGGTGACACCTGTCTTCATGACCACCAGGACATCTTCGATCCCCTCGAGAGGGGGGCATTCGGGCGGCTCACTTGGAGCGCTCTGCGGGGTGCTCTGCGGAGTGCGGAGCTGGGTAGCGCCGCGGGTGTAGAGCTCCGGGCGGATGGAGAGAAAGTGGTAGAGGAGGAATACACCCAGGAGGGAGGCGAGGATGGTGATGCGACGAAATCGACGGATTGCCATTTTTATGGGAGCGCGCGGTGAGGGGGAGATCGAAAAGGCTGGGATGGAAGCGGTCGCCGACCTGCAGCGGAGCGGGATCGAGACGCTGAATGCAAAAAAGTCTTGAAACAAGCAAAAGAAAAATTATTATTGAGTAATCCTCCAGACTGATACAAGGTGTCAATGCATCTTTCGTCGTCACTGTGCGTCAACAATGCAGAATATTTCGGGTGAAGAGCACTCGGTCGTTATTTGCCGGCGGGGAAATTCCTGGGGAGAAGCAGGAACGGAGGAGGCTGAGAGAAAGGGATCGGAGTCCCCTGGCGGTGGAGGGGAGAGGGAGGAACAGGAGAGAAAGGAGGAGGAGGAGGAGGCGGAGGAGTAAAGAGCAACAGGGGAAAAAGATCGAGGAAGCAAATCCCCGAGATCGACACCAGGCACGTTATGGTTATTATTATTGTTCGGAGAGACAAGAGGGCGTGGAGATGGCGACGTAGGAAGGCACGTAGACGGGCGAAGATCGGCCCACGCTGGCCGGCGATCTGGAGGGCTCCTAAGCTATCGATGACGCGTTAGCATCGGAATGGCAGCGTCTGACTGGAGAATGGAGCTTGATCCATCGCTTAGCTTGGGGGTCTTCGCGGCGCCTAACCATGGATTGCTGAGGAGCTGCAAACCTGAAACCCGCCCCTGACGAGACCCGTCAACCGGTGAAGCTGTCAGAAGTTGAAGAACTTCCGAAGTTGCTCCATCTTTGGTGAGAGGATCAAAATCAAACTCTCAGTCGATCAATCACATCATCATGCTGTTTCTGGCGTTAAGGGGGGGGGGGGGGGGGGGGGAGGAGGAGGAGAGGGGAGGAAGAGGGATGAACATAGGAGATTCCCACAATGGATGAGGGAGGGGCGGAATGTGTGTGTGGGTGTGGTTGTTTGGTTCACCTCAAACCCGGCATTTGGCCCCTTTGAACGGACTGATTGTTTAAATCTGACAGCAGCACTAACTACGTACTGTTACATCTTGAACATGGTGGTTGAAACACGGTAGTTAATTCATCTGCTACGCTAACTATACAGAAAACTTCCGGCTTACACAGTAAAAACGAGTGAAGGACCCTAATTAATCTAGCTGGAGAAGACCCTCCTGCCTCAAGTTTAGCTCCATTCGTCATGCTTCCAGAAACGCTCACTTGAAACTCCTTCCTCTCGCACGCCACACTTTGAGTGTCTCGACCTAAAATATCCATGTCTAGGACTTGGCATTGTGTTGAGCAATTTTGGTCGAATGCAACTTGACCAACTCAGGGATGATCAAACTTTCGATCTCCACTCCCTCAGCCGAGATGATGGCCTCGTCTTCCAACGGTCTCTGACTCTGCCCGCCCCCACCGGTTTCTGCCTGGGTGGATTCGCCCGCCCGCTTGGCTTCGGCCAAACCAACCTGCGCCTCACTGCCAGAAATGCTCTTGCTGCGCCGCGACTTCGGCACCCGGATCCAGCGCTCGTGCGGGGGGTCCGGGGTCACGAACACCACCTCCCATTTGCGTGTGGTCAACAGGTTACCAATCACCAGATGGTGTGCATACCGCTGGAGTGCCGTCTGCGCCTTGTATACGAGCAGGTTGGGGTCCGTTTCAAGTTTAAACGACACAATCATACTGCCATCCGGCGCCCACCCATTCACCAACCGATGTAAGAACTTCGGAACAGGGTCCAGATCAATGATCAATTTCTTACTATGAGACGACGGTTGCGGCTCAATCCCGCCCGTGTAAATGTCCGACGAGCCAACAGCCTGGTCCTTGGTCAAATGGTCCGGCAGCTCCGACGACTGGATCTTGTGCTCAGACATGCGGTCGCTGGGGATAAAGAAATCGCTGACGGCAGCGGCCAGGTAGAACAGGGCGTTGGGGCCCAATGGCTTCATGAGCTGAGCCAGCGACCGTAGTTCGAAGAGGTACTCCGAGACGGTAGTGAACGGAAGTAGGAGCAGGAGGTTGTTCCGCTTCGCATAACGATACTTTCGCAAGACATCGCGCATTTGGTCCTGGTACTCACTGCGCACCTTGATCGGTCGGTGATCCGACTCGTTGGTTTCTGTGGCATCAGGCACCGGTTCCTCCTCATCCATGAAATCCAGAAAGCAATTGGTCGAGTGGCTGTAATGCCGCGAGTATGGCAACAGACTGAATTGCCGATGTAGGAAAATCACTGCATATCCCTCCTGGAGAAAGTATTCTGCCGACACAGCACCTCGCGTGCCCGCGCTGAAGTTGTCAATGAAGCGAACAGTCTGGTTCTCTGTACAACGGTCAGAATCTTTCTCACGTGCACGAGCCATCCCACGAACCAAGAGGAACGGTGGTGCCCCCCGATGTCACCAGGACAAGGCGTCGGTTCGCTTGGGCGTGGTAATCGACAAAGGCTCGAGCGAGGGCTTCATGCTTCGGGAGGGCTTTGGGCGGGGGGTAGTTGTTGAAGTAGACCGACTCGGCCTCGGCGGGCGTCATCTCTGGCGTCGGAGCAGATGTCATACTGAAAGGTATAGCAATTGTTCACTGTTATGCGACTGAGATGTATGTATGTCCAGCAGATTTTATCTATCAATGCGTTCAAAGAGTTCTACTGCATCAGTGCAGGCAAAGGCGGGGATGAGACAAAGGGTCGGTGCGGAAAGGTGAGCGATGGAGAGGATCTGGGAACCACGACAGCTCTGCAAAAGCAATCTGCGTGTTGCAGCCAGAGGACAGGCGATCGACAACAAAGAACGGGAGGGAATTCAGGAGAAAGATCGAAGTCTTGGTGTTTTGGTGTATTCTGACATATGCCGGGTAGTTCGGAGCACGGGGTGCGATAAGTATCGCGACTGGTGAAATGCCAGCCCGCCACCTGTATGCTGAGGGATTAGCTTTTTCCCAACTGGTTAGCACGCACTGATGACAATTTCGCAATGACCAAAGCAATTTACAGATTTGGCTTTCTGCAGATAGATAGATTGGTTCAGATGGTCTTGTGGAATGTTGTTGGTGAACTTCTACTTTTCCTTCTCACCGGGAGGGGCAGTTCACCGCCTTCGGCTTATGACGCACCATCCCCGGTTCTCGGTTCATTCCTCTTTCATCCATCCGGATACAAGTCTCCCCTTTCTCTGTTGTGCATCACTAGGTCAAATAGCATTGTCAGATCATAATGTTGCGAGTATTATTACTGTTACTGCATGGTAGCTCGCATAGGAACAGAAATGTTAGCATAAAAGAACATCAAAGATCACAATATCACAATCTCAGAACTTCAAGGTTTGTAGAGCAGCCTTCAAATCCTCCATCTTTTGCTTCAGGTTGGTACGCCGGGCTTTAATCGCTTGCGATTCGCCCGCGATTGCTCCCAGCTCATCCGCCTCTAGATTGAGTACCCATTCCTGACTAAACACTTCGAGGGGGCTCTCAGGGCCAGTCAGGAGACAATGCTCGATTGCCTGCATGTGAACATTGTCCACAAATCTTTCGCGTGCGACTTGATAGTAGGACCACAGGATGTCATGGATTTCCCCTGTGATATGTTCCACATTCCCCTGGTCGCTCGCAGACTTCTTGACAGCATCCAGATCGACCACCTTTATTTCTGCGTTTGACCAAGTATCATTCATATTTCTGGCATTGTCCTCTAATGCCTGAGCAACACGGGCACTGCGCAGTTTCTGGAGGGTATGGCTGAAATTATTGTTTAGCGTATATGGTCGGCGGTTTCTCTCAACGGACAGAAGGAACATCGCCTGGGACATGGCATTCTTGTATCTTTGTAGAAGGTCATCGAGAATGCTGGACCAAATCTTGTGATAGAGCTGTTTGCTCCCGCAAATCTTTCCCAATGCCGTACTCAAAAAACGGTGAACTACCATGATGACATTACTCACGTGTCCGCGGGTCATGGCTTCCCATTTGCCGGTCTGCTCCTTGAAAGCATTGCAGAGAATGTTGTTTCCAAAGGTCCCGAGATCAAGACCTCGAGACTCAGCATGTAACTTTTCAATCCAGGCTTTGATATCCCCTTTGGGATCCTGGGTGCCCTCCACGCGGCTGACAATCTGCTCTAACTCAGGGAAGTTGTTAGGGTCAAGGCCTTCACGGCTTTCGTTTACATGCTGAGCCAGGGAAAAGCGATCCCCGGCTGCCATCTGGGCATGCATGTCGGGTTTCCCCCTTGGGCAGTTTTTATGGCGGCCCTTCCCGTGCGGATTGTTGTTCATGTCGTTGTATGGTTGTCTCTTGTCAACTGCATCTGAGGTAGGGCAGTCGAATGGCAAAAGATGTGCTTTGGCCTGGAAAGTTGAGCTGAATTTATCAGAAAAATTGACAATGTGAGTGATAAGCCGGAGGTCACTCTCTACAAATGCTTCATTTTCTGTATAATGGGCATCACGTGCAGCTTGTGCGAGGCTCTGAAACTGGCGAGCTATACCACTCAAGAACGCTCGCTGTTCCTGTTCAGTTTGGCGTGCAGGGCCCAGGAGTTCCAGATCTTGCTGGCATCTATCAATCTGGTTTTTGATATCCTTGCGAAGTTCAGGGAATTCGCGCTCCGTAACTTCGCTCAGGAGTTCTCCCAGGCGTTCTCTTAGGGCCTGGATGCCAATACGGTCTCTCGGCAAGGTATTCCAAGGCTGGCTGTCAAACATTCTTTCTCCTTCCTCACCACTGAAAGAAGTGTCTTGATCTGAGCCCTGGTTTCTGACCAAGTAATAGCCAAGTGTCAGCGGTCTCTTGTGTCCCAGGACCAGTGAGCACAAAGCTGCCTTGACGCTTTGCTCGATCACCAGGTCGGGTTTGGTTAGCACACCAAGCGTGCGCTCTCCATTTCCATCATAATCTTTGGCCAGCTTGAGGATCTCCTGGGTAGCAAGATCGACGTTGCTTGGGAGCACAGCCAAGATCACCGTGCGAGCATCTTTGATATAGTTCTTGACCATGTTTCGAACTAGCTCGATATCACTCTCAGTCGTAATGCCCGCCGTCGGGTCTCTGAAGATTCCCGGCACATCTATGACAGTCAGGTAGTCCTCTTCGGGCCCGCACAGCTCGATCCGGAGCACGTCTTTGCTGAAGACCGATCCTTCCTTAGACGAAAGGTCAGTACGTATGCCCATACACTCGTCGACCTGCTCAACATGTTAGCTTTTGTCAGAGAATAGTAAACGTAAGTTGAACTGGACTATCCGAACCTCTTTCAGGATTGCTGGAAATTCCGAGCGAAAGTCTTCGGTGCCTCTGAGGGTCCTCTTAAAGCCCTGTACCTTTGCCCTGTGCTCCCTGGATGCGTCCAGGGCAGGGATAATAATAATTTCAACAGAGGAATCCTCCTCACGCCGGGAGGTTATCTGCGTGGCATAACGGGTACAAAGTTCCAAATCACGAGGAAATGGAATCTTGGTCAGGCTTGCCAGAAGAGAGGACTTTCCAGAACTCTGGTCTCCAACAACAACCAACTTGATGAAGATTAGTACCTCTTGTAGACTCTTTTTGCTGGTTATAAAATCTTACCTGAGGAAGAGGAACATGCTTTCCAATGTTTTTCTCTCTCAGCTTGTCAATCTTCTTGAGCAACTCAGAGCTATTGAGATGCTTAGGACCGCTTTCACCTTCTTCGATAGCCATGTTGACGGTTGAGCCGGTGGGAAGTCGAAGGCTCTTGCGTTGAGTCTGAACGTGGACCAACTCAAGATAAATTGGGAATGAAAGAAAGGGAGCGAGAGAGAACTCGTGGGGGCAAGGCTTGACCAGAAACGACCTTTTCCCAGGGCATGTGGCTTCCAATGAATTCTGAATGCCATATTGGGCGTAGCTGTCAACAGTGAAAGACAAAGCACAAATTTTCCACAGTGAATTGTGGACGATATTTTGGGATACGCAACCACATATAGAATTCCATAATCAAAAAGAATCAGTGTCCTCTTCATTATATCTTGATAGTCAACAACATGAGGTATTCGTAGCGTGCCACCTACTAGGAGATGCAGGAGCAAGAGACTAAGTACTGATAGAGAATCTTGAATATGCTTGTTGTTAGAGAAAGGGCAATTGCGCAGGTTATGGTCATATACAATCGGTTACCCATAGAACCACACTTTCTCAGAGGGCACCCCTTTCTTGAAAAGTGTCTTCTCAGATGTGGGAAATATATGCACTAAGATGCTACCATGTAGACTGAACTCGAAATCGTCTAGACAACATCCAACTCTGTTGGCTCAACTACCCAAGAAATTTGGCTCATGCAGCTCCTATAGCCCCCATAAAAACAGCGATTCTATCCTCCCCCTATGGCATCAACAGCGGATGAAGCACCCACAACGACCCCTCATGTCAATTCACAGATTCTTACGCGGTCTGACCGGCATCACAGGAGTAGGAGCATCGATATGCGCGGTCCACTGCGTCAATTGAACATCTGCTGCGGTAAACGCAGTACTGAAATTGCCGGCGAGGAGGTAGTCAAGTGGGAAGGCAGGATTGAATTCAATGGCCTTATCAATTTCATCCATATCCTCCTTCGAGAGATCGAGGCTCAGAGCTTCAATGTTGGCTTTCATGTGCGCTACACTCCGTTGTCCAATAATGGGGAAGACGTAAGGTGCCTTGAAGCGGACCCATGCGAGAGCCTGAGTTTGAAACATTAGTTAGGCGGCTTATATACGTGGCGCAGTAGGTATGTATAAGGGTGAAGCTCACAATAGCACAAAGACTTGTCTCATTCCGTTTGGCAACAGCCTCCAACACATCAGAAACCTTGTCATCCTCCTCAACCCGGAGCGCCGCTCGTCCAGAGCTCTTATAGTCTGCGTTGCGCTGCTCTGCGGGTCTGAACTTCGCTTGGCCTAGCACTGCAAAAGGTGCGATTGCCATCCCTTGGTCGCGACACATAGGCACAATCTCCTTTTCTAGATCTCTGAATCCGGCATTCCATTTGCCCTGGTAAACAGAGAACGGTCTGAGTCCGTTTGCGCGCGCGTATGCATTTGCCTTGACTACTAGCCAAGCCGGAGTTCCGGAGACGCCCAAGTAGAGGACCTTTCCGGCCGAGACGAGTGCGTTGAGACCATGCATGACTTCCTCCACGCTGGTGGTGAAATCCCACCAATGCACGTAAAGAATGTCAATGTAGTCAGTCTGAAGCTTTTCAAGGCTGTTCTTGACGGATAGGTTCATGGATTTCACTGAATTTCCGACGAAGTTCGATTGGATGGGCTCAGTGGATACGTGTGTGCGGCGGAAGCCGGTCGTGTATTTGGTTGCGATGCTGCCATTTCCAATATCAGGGCATACTGAAATGTAGCAATCAGATAGTGGTGGGTGTATACTTACACCATCTGGTCTCGATTCCCACGCTTCTTCATCCATTCTCCAATCCATGTTTCGGATTGTCCGTCCTGGTATACATTGGCACTAAGGAGCATAAGCCTGTCGCTCATAGGAAGAATCAGTGGGTAATTTTTGAACGTACGTGTCGATAAAGTTTCCACCGTGGTCGAAAAAGGTATCCAAGATTGCCAAGGATACATCCTTGCTGCATTCACCCATGTATGGTTCCCTGCAAGATGTCAGAGAGACGTTTGTCCAATTTTTAAGCAACAGGACAGACATACCAGTTTGTTCCAAAGTTTATAGTGCCCAGACATAGCGGAGACACCTTGATCCCAGCAGTGGGTGACAAGACCTGGTGGAAGCCCAGGAGGCACTCTGGTTTTGGGACGGGACCAGCCATTGTTGCTATACTGATGCAGTAGAGGTGAGAAACCGATTTTAAATGATGAAGATGAGTCGAGAGGTTGGGGCACTGGTCCTCCTTATATGTTATTTATCATGCCGGTCTATGAAGCAGATACATCCATTCAACTCCGACTTGCATGTTGTGTAGGCTGCAAACCTGAACGCGTCATTGCTCGCATTGTCAGACTGCATCCATCCCAAAGACGCTTGGATATTGCCAGTGACGACGCATCGGCTACCTATTGCGAAGTATGCAGTAGGCTGAAGCACTGACGTACTATAGTTATTAGGCTGCCTAGGATCTGTTGGATTCTAGTCTGCTGACATTGACTTGGCCAAAATTGCGCCAAGACCTTGACCCTGTCCGGTGGGGCGGGAAGAGGCTTTTATAGAAGCTTTTGGTATACACTGCTCCTACAATACGCTCTCGAGATCTCATAATAACGCATGCATATAGCTCACATGTTCTGTTGGTCAAACCACACTTATAAGGAATCCTATCATGCTGCATTATATATCTTTTTGGGTGGGAAGATTGAGAGGTCATCAACTGCTGTCCGACTAACTCACCCATGCCCAATCAACCCCAGTTTCACATATTCCAACAGTAAGTACTCTTTATGCCTCGAAGTGTACTTACCGGGCGAGTTACCATCGATAAGGCTGCCTCTTCCCAACTAGGAAAGAGGCAACCTTGTGAGGCGGATGTCACGTGAATATATGGATGGAGCCGTGGCAATAGGGTGGGAATAGCAGAATTTAGCCCATATTGCAGTTCGATAAGCCGAACTGTTATCGCAACGCACCGACCCTGACGGGGGAGGCGTGACACCTCGTCAATCCTCCGCATTCATCACACTCAACCCGCATCCACTATGCTAACTTCCAAATAGCAGCAAAGTTTATCTGTTTTATTTTCTCTGCTGGTTGACGTGTACTTTCTGGGGTATTTAAGTAGTTTTACGTACGCAGATACGAGTCCGCGATGACGTCCTTCAATCAGTCTGGAGACACCAAGTTCACCGTGTTTATTCGCCTTCCCTTCCCCAGGGGTGACTTTGTGGATCCTCCTCCAGTAAGTGCCGCTAGTCAACTGATCTCCATCTCGCTGACCAGACAGGTGGAATGGAACGCTGCCAAAGACCAGGCTCTCTGGAATATTCTCTCGCGTCCTTCAAAGGGAGATGATTTAGACTGTAATAATGTTGCCTAATGATGATCTGATGAGATTCAGAATGCTGACGATACCACAGGGAAAGCACTGTAGGATTGGCCTTATCGAGTGTTGAGGCATCGCTGATCAACTCTGTAGGGCAGATCATTTCGATGTGACATTGCAGTTTCTGCTTCAACAGGCAGCATGGCTCTACGATCGGCAGCTGTCACAAGTACGTGCACAGATGAGTAGAGTGCCCACCACACAGTCAACGTCTACATCTCCTGCTCCTGGTTCGGTGTCGGGTAGCACGGCGCTGGCTCAACAGACTAAAGGTGCCACAAATGCAGGTGAGTGCTCTCCGATGATACTCCTTGAGTCTTCTGACAATCAAAGGCCCTCGAGCTCCGTCGCGCCACTCGTCACAGCAGAAAGATAGTCTTCCACAGCGTGGCAAGTTTTATTCGGCCTCTATGCCTGTGTCTTGTACTAATCATGTCGAATCTAGCTCCCATTCCCCGACGCACCAGCTCAACAACTACCGTCAATCAAGTTAAAACTGCCCGGGAACCAGTCCGCAACGATACACCTGTTGCAGAGCCAAGAGAGCCTAGACGAGAAAGTTATGCCAGTCGACCATCTGCCGGCAAACGGGAGCAAGCTGCAGCGCCTCCGGCTCCGAAGTCACCCCCTCTGGAAGATGACACAACCTCTAGTTCGTCCGAGTCTGAATCCGACGATGACAACGCCTTTGGAAGTCGTCGTGGTCTAAGATTCAAGCCCCCCTTCGGCAAATTCTCCACACATAGGGCTGGCCTGAGGTACGACGAGGAGGATGACGACGAGTCCCCTGCTTTCCTGCCAGAACCTGAAAGGGCGTCGCACGAAGCATCTGGGCAGGATCTGAATGCTACGTTGAGGATGAACGCTGAGGATGCCTCTGAGTCACATCGACGCCCATCGGCACAAATGATCTCCAGAACTTCAGTCACGACCGAATCTTCCGCAAGCTCTGCTAGCTCCGGAGTCCCAGTTGCACATCCACAATCTGAGAGACGGCGACGGTTGAATCAAAGCGGAGGGCCATTGAGTCCTAGGCGGACAGGGGAATTGGCACATTTTAGTCCACGACAGTCTATGGCGCTAAGGAGAGATGCGAGCGACGGGACGCCTAGTATGGGGAGCAGCTTTAGTGATCTAGATGGTGAGGTTTTCTTCTGTTTGCATGATAACATACTGACTTTTGGTCTAGATGCGAGCGTCACGCAGTCCGCGCTTGAGGAAGCACTCTTGAGCAATATTCAGCACGGTGGCATGGCCAGTCGCATGAGCACAATTAGTCAGGCGATTCGTAGTCGATATCTAGGACGGACGGAGGATAGGTTCTCGTAAGTTGCAATGGCGCAGGGACGATCCATCAAATTGTCTATGAAAAGGGGGCTAGCCTTTCAATAATATTACATTATATTTCATATTCTCGAGTTTAATATAATGCTTGTGATCTGAAAATAGAGACAACTTAATATTTGAATGGGTGGTGGGCGGTGCCGACCTGCCATTCGAATCTAACTCAACAATATATTTCTGTTGACCCCGGCTGTTTTGGCAATAGTATGTTCCCCTCAACATTGGTTCAACTATACTGCAACTACCTAAGACTACGAAAAGTAGCTCTGAATATCATTATGGGGACATAATATGGACTCCTGTATGCCTGTCACCCCAGCATAGTTATCCCCGACCGTTGTGTTCTCAACTATTGGTCTCGTCTAGTATAGAGACTAAAACAACACGGACCGACTTCAACTACTTAGTATACAAATTCGACGAAGAATATAAAAAAATATCCTGTCAAGCAGCTTTCTAGTCCCTCATACATCTACCCACTAAGCTCCTCACTAACACAATCAGTAAAAAAAATGTGACCAGCCTAGTCTTCTTTATAACCAAGATACACGACCCAGCACACAATATCCCAGCAACACTCACTTGAACAAATAATAATTGTCAACGTATGATACACCCACCACCATGAGCAGAACCAAACCAAAACAAAACACACAACAAAAAACTCCAAAACACCCCAAACGCCCTGCCAACCTGCAAACAAACAATGCCGTCCGATCCGTTACTTGAACAAAACAAACCCAAATCCAAACCCAAACAACAATTTAGTAACACGCACAGGCAACAACAACAACAACAGCACCAAAGTAACACCCACTAACTACTAGACTAAACTAACAGACCACACTAAACCCAAACCAACCCATAGTACTCAAATACTACCACACCTATCATCATCACAACGGCCAAGCTCGCCCCGCCAAGTGATTCCTATATTAACACCCACCCAACTAACTACGCATTTACCGAACCGATCTAAAATCTCACCAGTCACCACACCCCTGGTCGTAGTTCGCTTCGCTTAACTTCCGTGTGCAAAAACCACCCAAGTCAAGGCTAGGGCAAAAGCAAAGCCGAGGAAAAAGGAATATTACTACTCAGTTATTATTGATGATTTGGGGAGAGGGGGGGTTTGGAAGCAACGTACCGAAGCCAACTACCCCTGCAGTAGTACGAAGTAGATAGATATATAGTAGTGTAATTTGTGCTAGTACTAAATACGAGGTAGGAAGGCATATAGGGTAAGTAGTAAGTAGTTCGTCTCGAGGAGTACAAAATACTTGGATTCGTTCCCCTGCCCTGGAATTGGAAAGTTAATTGGAGATAAGAGTGTCTCACTTACATGCATCCTTCGTTCTACTACCTATCTACTCTCAAGTACTGTAAAATAGTAATGGATAATAGTAGGTAGGAGGAATGGCCACGGACATAACAGAAAAATTGTGAGAGATAATCCATCCATACAGAGCAAGCACAGCATAGCACAGCACAGCACGGCACAGCCTGAAGTCAATGATAAAGTTTATAACAAAACAAAAAAAGTCAATTAGTAGCATCGGGTTGAAATCGACGAGTGTGTATTAGTGCGAGGACTCTTGTGTTTTGTGTTGTGTTTTACGCACTGCCCGATTTACCCACTAACTAGCATTTGATGTTTTCACCAGCTACTAGCGATCCTGCAGAGAGAACAGATTTTATAAATATCTGCCGTTGAGTTCTTCCGAGATTTTGATTCCGACAAGGGATGGTTGAATTCGGAATTGACTCGGATCATGCCATAGAAAGGCAGACATGAACAGCGGACACTAAGCTGGAATTGAAATAAGCCTTTGTGGGTGTATCGCCAAGGTTCCTTGGGAGGCGTCGGAGTCTGTCAGAGAGAACCACTAAGAGTGTTTGTTTGGTGTAGGTTTGTAGCCGAACCCGACTACGACCCGCTCCGGCTTGGCAGAGTTTGGGACTTTCAGCTGAAGCCAGTGCAACCAACTTTGGATTTTATGTCAGGGGGATGGGATCGAGGTGTTGTTGATTGCACAGCCTCAAAGAAACAGGGAATAAATAGTATTATATGTCATTCACACATCATTAGGTATGATTATGTAGGGTCATCAAAAGTAATATATACAAGAAACATAGGGAAATTGATACATGATGAGGTTCGTCTCGTCCGATTCGGATTTTAAATGTTTCATCGGAAAGAAAGTGAGGGAGATTGAGGGGGAGCCACAGCACCGACCACCACAACCAGGTGAGAACCTTGTGGCCGGCCGATCGCTAGAATTCCCCCCGGCCGAAAACGGGGGTGTAAGCCCGCCTCAGCTCCGTGCCTGAAGGTCCTTTCCAACAGAAGAATCGTGAAGACTGAGTAGGCAACTCGGTAGTCCATACATTACGTGTACTATCATCCCTGGTGGGGCCGTGGACACAGTAGTGTAGTTGATTACCTAAATCCGACGGCCGTGGCTGGGCGGGTAGCTGTGACGGTGGGACTGATCTACCTTTCACTTGCTCAAAGTGATCGGAGACAATCGATGGAACGTGGATGCGGGCCCCGCGTGGTTTGGATGATCGGGGCCCCAGTGGTGCTGAGAAACGTCACTGTGCTTCAGATACAGCGGGGTTGTTGGCAATTGCGCTGCACGAACTCTTCGCGATCGCTGGAGCCTGAAGGGGTCAAATCCTGGCATCGAGATAAGAGGGTGTTGTTTCGTGAGGCTGTTGTGGGCGATTCAGGGGTCTTGTCTCCGCGGCCCCGGAGAGGAAAGGCGACTGCCTTCCTGGGAGGGACTCAAGGTCATAGCGACTGCTCATCGGCTGTCGAGACGATCCATAGGAAAATCATGGGCTGATCAGTCCTTCTGAATGACAATTTCCGTCGTCTTCCTGATGATGAAGTCATCATGTCCATTCGCCTGAGCCCACTCTGTGTTGTCGCTACCAGTCGATGCGGTCGATTTGTTGGTGACATGTCCCACCCCACCCATTTCAATTATGTTCTCTTCACTTTCGGTGCGCGTTATTCCGTCCGCGCGTCCGGTTCGAGTATCGTAGATGGTAGGCATGTTGCGAGTCGAGCGAGAATGCACCCCTGATTTCCACCGTGCATTCGAAGCCTGGTCGGTTCCGTATTGGGCTTCGTTGTATCGGCCTTTGTTGGTGTACTGACTCGTTCGCAGGAAGGTGAGTGTCGATCTCGCGAGGCTCCAGACGAATGGCAAGTTCGCCACGTACATGCCGATCGATGCCTCCCGGAGGTACCAGAATTGGTAGCTATCGTCGTAGATATTGTGGAATGTGAAGTATTTGGAAATGATGGCACAGGCGATCTGGGGGGCAGAAGATGCAAGTTAGCGACTAGTCCGGGGGGCCAAAGCCAACTCGGGCAGTAACGCACCACCACAATAGCCATGGAGAAGACCACGATCACGGGTAACTTGGTCTTCCAGGGCATTTTTGCGCGGATGAACATCGGTAGTATGACGCAGAGAATGAAAATATCGGAACTGATGTTGAAGACGCATTGTACCACTTCATAGCGAAAGTAGGTGCTGCACTCCTTATGAGGTGGCGGGAGCGTCCAATATCCGGACAGGGGGCGACAGTTCAGGAACAGCACCAGCTCCGTGGCGATCCAGCCGATAAGGGTGTATCCGGCGATGATTTTAACCAGGCGGTGCTGCCATAAGTTCGACCTGAAAGTGTGCGTCAGCAGTTGCTCAGTGTTGACTTTGAGATTGCACCTACGTTAGTCGGAAGTGTACCAACAGCATGCAAGCCTTGAGAGAATAGATGGTGCAGAGCTGGCACTGTTTCGAACATCGTGTTAGGCTTTGCTGACCTAGAATGGGGAAGCAAACATACATTCTCCGAAGCGAACTCGATCTTGGAACCTTTGACTCTTGCAGCAATCTCGGAGGCTGAGAAACTGTAGTACAAACTCGCAGGTTCATACAAATTGCTACCTCCTCCTTCGATGATTTCAATGTTGGTAACTGCGAATGCCGTGTAGAATCCCTGCGACCACAAACAGAGCGCGTTAACACATGGCCGAAGGTATGACACAGTGCAGTGCATGCAACCTACCACAGCGACCACCATAAGGTAATCTTCGACCTGGAATCGAAATCCGAGTCGCTTGTAGCGGGCAAACCTGTATTGTTGTTACTGGTAATGTCCACGGAAAATAGGCTATCTATGAACAACAAAAAGGTGTACATACAGTCTCACCAGGAACAGCAGAATAGCAATGCTGTACATGATCCAGGTCTGCACGACCAGATCATGAGGACTGCCGCCACCGTCGTTGGCCATGATGAGTTCTATGGGAGCGCAACGAGAAGCAACAAAGTCATGGTCGCAAGACTGTTCTGAATCTAAAGTACGGGGTGCCTGTTTATGAACTTCTAGAACCTGGCAGGCTATCAAGTCCGGGGCCTGCTAAACTTAGCCTGTAGCTAATTAGGGCTTCGGATTGGAGTTATCGCTCGGGTAGGAGTTAGTACTATTAGCTCTTCTCCTTCCTATGGTTCATGTGGCCGCTCACCCTTGGGTGGCGGCACGAGAAGTAAATTGGGACGGCTGAGTGGTTATGGGGCATAACGCGCCATCAACGCTGAATAATTTCATTTATCACAGGATTCGAATCCTTGCTAGACTGCATCCCTGCATAAACTAGAAAATTCTGCACAAAGTCTATTTGTCAAAGCCGGGAGACCCGAATTACAACGTGCGTCGAACACAAGGTAGATAGACTCAATAGTACACCACATATTGTTTTCCAAACGTGGAACAGAGCTACTCTAGTCGTGAGGTCCTTGATCATGTCCCTCAAATAGCGCCAGCCACAAGGCTGGAAAACATCATAGATTCGGAAATTCTCCGGCGCTTGGAAAGCGGGTTTGTGTTTCGACTTTCCAACATGGACCTCATCAGGAAATGACCGGGGTCCCCCGACTAAGCTTCGGCTACGTATTGTGCACCCACCGTGACAGCCAGTCAGATGGATGAGAATGAGTAGACCAGCTTGCCACTTACGATTGTGTCTCCTGCTTTTTCCTCACTTTGATCGAACCATGAGATGGAAGGCAAATCGAGGGCCTGTCGAGGATCTCGAATTTGCCGAATGATAGATTAAATGCGTGGCCATCCTCCACTCCTAAGGGCCACCGGTGCAGAAGCCAGCTGGTCTCAGGTGGAGATGGATAGACTGGGCTATGTAGTGCCGTTAGTAGACAGTATCGGAGCTGCGGAACACCGAAGAGACTTTGGCCTAGTTAGGCTTTTCTTCGGTCCTCCAACGGAGGGGTAATTCCATCGTGCAAACTCGGTGACTCGATGAGTACGCGTTCATTTTAAGATTCGTACGCTTATCTCCGAAAAGCCTCGGTGAGTTCAACGTTAGTTGTCCAGCCAAGGCGTATAAATTGTCTTCCGGCCAAATTCGTTTCGTAATGTAGCCACGAAGGAGGGCGGAAGGCTAAAAGTTTGAAGGATGACTTTGAGCTACTGTGCAACTGTTACCGTGCTACCGTGTCGAGACCCAGACTAAAGGCGTGGGGAGCTGGATCATGGCGAGGAACGGACCAGGCAGACTCTCTCACTCACAGTCGACAATGGAGGAAAAGAACGGAACGACGGCTAGACCTTCCGCTTCGCAGAGCGGGGCACGTGCTCCACTTGGATCGTGATAAGGACGGGCCATGCACTGCTTGGAGACATAGTCAAGTCTGCCTATGAGCCATTTAATATCGAGTCAGGTCAATAGAATTTCCACTCAATCAAGACTTTTAATATACAATCTGCACCATAGGTAGCTGAAACGCCGTCGCAACCGGAGATGATGCTGTAGCCTAGAACTAGCTGGAATCCATCAGCCCATTTCCCTCGATAGTATTTGCCCCTGGGCGGTGGAGGGACCCCGGCAGAATATTAGTCCCCAATGAGGGCATTTTGCTAACCCCAAGACAGCCTAGTGTTAGTCATCTCATCAACGTCAAATCAGAAAAGGAACCGGGAGAACTGGAAAGGGAAAGCCGGAGACAAGAATAGAGATAAGCCTTCCAGATGAGAATAGCGATCGCGGCATAATCTTCATGACCCATGTCCAGACCCTTTGAGGTTCATCCACGGCAAGGGTGATGACCCAGGGAACACCAAGGCTAATTACAATAAGATGGGTGCCCAGCGGGATCGGAGAGTAAGAGGGAAATGAATTAATCTCGTTGCTTGAACCGCTAAGCACTGCGGGTGCTTGAGCCAAGCATGGATGCTGCCGCGCGGGTCCTGTCATTGGCGGGTGACTGACTTTTTGTGGCCAAACGAAGACAAAAAATTTCCCAAAAAATAATAACGGCGAAGCCCGAGCAGAAAAGCCAGAGGAGTCTTTCTCCGCCAACAACTTCCCATATTCGCCGGATCCAACTCTACCTTAGCTTAGTCCCTGCTCTAGTGCCAACTGCGAGGGGGGCAAAACTCCTCTTTATCCCCCATCCGGCCCTGAGTTTTTTTCCCGCCATGCAGCTGGGCTTGCATTAAATCCTCCTACGTTCTCTTCAACGGCTGCGTTTCGATTTCTGAAACTTGCGGCCTCAACGTCTTTTGCACCAACCGAGGATCCCCTCCTGCGCCAGCTCGCAGACCCTTTATTACTATATCCAGCATGGCTGATACCATGCGCGACGAGGAGAAGGGCCACCGCGCCGCTCCAGCCGTAGAATCGGTCTCGTCTCCCTCGGAAACCGGAAAAGAAATGGCCTCCTACCCTTCTTCAGGGAATGCCTGGACGAGGCTCAACGCTCGTATTCAATCCATCAAATTCCTCGAAAGCCGCGGTATCGAGCGTGTCCCAGAGTCTGAGCGCCACGCTGCCTCAGCATCCAATTATATGCAAATGGCTTTGCTTTGGTTTAGTACCAACATCACCGCTAACAACATCGCGGTCGGAATGTATGGGCCTCTGGACTATTCTCTGAGTTTCGTTGACTCGGCGCTCTGTGCGGTGTTTGGTGCTTTCCTTGGTGCGGCTGGTGTGGCGTATATGGGAACGTTTGGACCGCAGAGTGGTAATCGAACAATGGTAAGCAACATGCCACCTTTTTGGAAAACGTCAAGTCGTGCTAACCAAAAGCCTTAATAGGTCATCGCAAGATATTTCATGGGCTACTACCCGAGTAAGATCGCTTGTCTTTTGAACATTATCATCATGTTGGGCTATGGAATGATCGACTGCCTTGTGGGTGGCCAGGTGCTGTCCGCTGTTGCCGATGGTGGCATGACGGTGGTGGTGGGAATTATCATCATCGCCATCATCACGTGGATCGTTGTGGTCTTTGGTATGGCGCCTTTCCACGTGTACGAGCGATGGGCCTGGGTGCCTCAACTCATCGCCATCTTCGTCTTGGTCGGCAGTGCCGGCCCGAAATTCGACACCAACATCACCACTACTGGCGACACCGAGACCGTCAACGCCAACCGTCTCACCTTCTTCTCGCTCTGTCTCTCCAGTTCCATTGCCTGGGCCCCTGCTGGCGCCGACTTTTTCGTCTACTTCCCTCCCTCCACCTCGAAATGGAAGACCTTCACCCTGACCCTCTTCGGTGTCGGTCTTGCCCTCTCTTTTGCCAACGTTATGGGCGTCGGCCTCGCTAGTGGCACACTAACGAACCCATCCTGGGCGGAGGCCTACGACACTTCTGCTGGAGCTCTCATCATCGCTGGATATGACGGTCTCGGCGGATTTGGCAAGTTCCTGGGCGTTCTCGTCGCCCTGGGTCTGATTGCCAACAACATTCCTGGAACCTACTCTGCCACCCTGGGCTTCCAGATCATGGGCCGTCACCTTGGCAGCCTTCCCAGATGGTTCCTCTCCTGTATTTGTGTGATCATCTACACTGCTTGCGCCCTGGGTGGCCGGAACCACCTCTACGATATCTTCGAGAACTTCCTTGCCCTGATGGGTTACTGGGTGACCATCTATTTGACCATCGCTTTGGAGGAACACCTCATCTTCCGCCGCACCCGTGGTTTCGACTGGGATGCTTGGGCTGACCGGTCCAAGTTGCCCCTGGGTCTTGCTGCTCTGGCTGCGTTCCTGATCGGCTGGGCGGGTGCGATCGTCTGCATGGACCAAATATGGTATGTTGGTCCGATTGCCAGGATGGTTGGTTCGGACGGCGCGGACCTGGGTATTTGGGTGGGTGTGTCTTGGGCGATGCTGGTGTTCCCGCCTCTGCGGTGGTTGGAGCTGCAGAAGATTGGTCGGTAAATGAACTCTGCCTTGTCCCGGAGAAAAATAAAAAGAATAGAGGTTATGGGAAGCCTGTGTCCTTCTGTTTGAGACATGAGGGACGATAAAGATGTATGCCTAATCAATGCTATATAACGGATTCTTCCGCACTAGATAATGTGTTATGCTATGAGCAAAAATATCAATATACCAATTTCAATTCAAGATAGTTCAGCAAAAAGATAATTCCAACGACGCGCATCAAGGAATTACGACCATGTTGGATGCATCACACATTTTGTAGTCAGACATTATCCAAATTCACTATGGCAAAGTGTTTGATGAATGTGAACGGAAGATCCCAAGTCCGCTGGCGGGGATGATTAGTCTCCTTTTGCTGATAATTAGTTGGCTGTGTTCCTGTTTTTTTTTTTTTTTTTTTTTTTTTTTTTTTTTTTTTTTTTTGGAATGTGAAAATGAGGTATGGGTGTGAGTATTATAATTGTGATAATGAATGAGGTTAAACCCACCATTCGTGAGGTATGTGCCGCTGTTGTTGCTGCACGGCTCAATTACGCCTCATCGCCTCGGTTGTCCGCAAAGAAAATAATGTCTCAAGGGCATCAATCCGTCTTAAACATAAATTACATGCGCAATGAAGAAGATACCCACCTAGACTCCCTGCTGTCCTATCGTCCTGGGCAGTTTTTAGATGGAAAGTAGCGAAAGAGTCTCTTATGAAATATTGGATAGGATGGTTTATGCCCAGATGAACGGCGGGCCATCCACGATGACAGCTCTTGCGCGTGCTGAGGGAGACAAAGAAAAAAAAACCTTATAAAGACCGGGAGAACTTCTTCTCTCAGTCTCTTGCTTGCCTCGATATAATTACCATCAAACTAGGTCTTCTCGCAGTGCTAGATACTACTACCGATCTGCCCGATCATTACAGCTCCCCAATTGAACACTCACACCCACAACCACAATGAGCGTCCAGACATACAACATCCTCAACTTCGCCGACACCCTCAAACGCTCGTTCGAGGAAAAAGTCGACGAACACGGAAATGTCACCAAGCGCGGGTTC